TATATATATATATAAAAGCTGCTGCTCTTTTCATGCAGGAGATTGTGTTTATGGCAGCATCCAAGTCCCAAGGAATTTACAAAACTTGTAGAGCAGGGCTATTCAACTGGTGGCCTGCGGGCCACATCCGGCCCATGATTGACCAAAGTTCGGCCCGCCACTTGGTTCATTCGTCTCATAAACCTAAACCCGTGAATCTCTATTTTAATTCCTATAAGTTATTTTAGTTAAACATAGACATGTTTGGTATCTACAGAAACATCAGAATATTGGCTAGAACTGATAAAAACCATTTCTACGAACATCCAAGACAGTTTAAAATACAAGCAGTTGAAGATAAAACTATAAAAGTGAAAATAAAAAWTTGGCAAGTCAGAGATGTCAAAATAATATTGTGTTAAATAGGAGACTTAGTGTGCTATTTTTGTTTTTGATGTTGTTTTATTACCACTACTGTTATTGCACAGGGTTCTGTATGTTGTGTTCATGATTAAATATAGCAAAATAACTATTTCAAAGGTAACAGATCTTTGTAATACTTGGTTTATTTACATAAAGACTAATTGCTGGATGTTTGGTCCCTCAGCTGTTGGCCTGGATTAACTGTGGCCCCCGGAGAATAGCCCTTTTGTAGATATTTATGTATTCATCAGAACCAAACACCTTATGTGACCTCAGACTTTCATTATTAAAACCAAAACCAGATAGTTTTATAGATTCTTGCATAGATTTGAACAATAAAACCAGTCATGGATAATGTCATGAGGAGCAGGATGTAAAAAAAAAAAATCACCATTCAAACAATGTTACTGAAATTAAAGTGCCTGTGACATCATTGTTTGTAATAAAAATGAATGCATTTCTTGAAAGATATTGATGAAATATTGCAAAAAAATTAAATAAAAATTATACCACTGAGATGAACAGTTGTAAAGATATTTGCATGTGAAGTAACAGGAAGTGATGTCAAAGGGGAATGTCTTCATGTGCACAAAGCGTTGCTGCAAAAAGTAAAAACCCAGACTGTAGAGAAAAATCTGATGTTTCTTCAGATTATTTTGAATCACTATCAGAGAGATAAAGAAGAGACCAAATAATGTTTTAGTAAAGACCAGATAATTTTCTTTAGAGTTTCCCTTTGATGTCACTTCCTGTTTCACTTTGGCTGAGCTACAGTAAATTCAAAAAAAAGTTTTCCAGTTATGTGACAAAATGGGTATGATTGTGTGCAYGCCAACTTTCCTAAATATAAAGATAATTTCTTTGACTTTTAGGATGTGCATGTCCCGAGTACTTTAAGACTTTTAAAATCAAACTATTAAAATGTTTTACTTTGTTTACAGTATACATTTATAATTGTGTAAAGTAAGATTAAATAAATCTGCTCAAATATCTTCAAACAACTGTCCACCACAAAAAAAAAAAGATTGACCTAAACACTTTTTTACAGTTTGTATTTTTTCCTACATTTATTTCCCTCTGTCCCATTTAATTTTATCATCTACCATTCCAAAAATGTGATAACTTCCCATCATCCCTGCCTTTCTCCTGCAGCAGACACATCTCCAGAGTAATTACACAGCAGCTGTGCTGACATAAATCCTCATTTACCTCCATTGTGTGTTGAGAGAACCAATACATTGGAGCTCCTGGAGGAAACACAGGGGAATATGTGGCTTTTATGTGACGTTAATGATGGCAGTGTTATTGCTTGAGGTCTAAAGGTGATGAATAACAGCCATTACTTTCCTATTTGGTGGATGAAGGCTGTATTAAAAGTCAATCTTATCTTTGAGGTGGTGACTGAAAGGTGTACCTGGAWAAATCGAATCAAGGAAACACCATCTGTTGTTTGATGTTATTTGATACGTTTGAGTTTTATCACTTTTAGAAAAGAAAAATAAGGAAAAAGAAATACACAATTATTTTTTGTTTGAGGCTGCAGAAACTCATACCAAGAAAATTGCTTTAGTAATGGCAGGGCAGATTATTTACACGGTTTTGTTGTTTGTGACAGCTGACATCAAAGATAGTAACATTATTGCGTAATAGGAAACAAAATAAAGTTCTGATGAAAAGTCTGGATGTAATTTTCAGATTTCTATTAAGCAGAAATCGAGATGTTTTAAAAGAGTTATCTTTCTTATGCTTACAGAKGGAAAAATAAATGATTGGTAGTTTAACAGCCAATTTATAAAGCAAAAATATGCACATAAATGCCAAGCTAAGCAAATATGCATCTGTTTGCAAATCCCAAAATGGTAACTAAAGGATGGCACAGTTCTGCAGGTGTGGCCTGAAAACTGTAACCAAACACATTCAAAGCTTCCTGATTATTTGGTAGCATTTATATTTCTGTGTAGATCAAAACATTCTAATAACAGAAGCATTGCAAACAAAACTAGCAAACACAAACAAGCTGCTGAGGATTTTGGTTATAACTAGAAACAGAACCGGAAGCCTGAAGTTGAAGCCACAKATGACGAGTCCTCCATGTCGCCTGTTTACAGGAARATTTGCAGMGTTGTAAAGTAACGAAGTATAATTTTTGGTCATCTGCACTTTACTTGAGTAATTATTTCTCATACTACTTTTTACTTCTACTCATTACACTTTCACACACTTATCTGTTCTTTCTACGCCTTACTTCCCCAGGTCACTGGTGCCCATGTCCACCAGTTACTGTACGAGAAATAGACTAGTGCGTTCTACATTTTTTTWAACTATTAGCATTTTAATATGAAATTATACACATTTTGGTTTTTAGAAAAATGTTTTTTTTTTTTTTTTTTTTGGGGGGGGGGGGGTGTCACCTCCCAATAACAGTAATTTCAAAAAATCTAAATGCTCAATTAAACACAAAATGTTTACTTTTAATACTTAAGTACAAAATTATTAGATAACTTTTACCTAAGTAATTTGATAGTAAGATACTTGTACTTTTCTCAAGTATAACTTTGAGATACTTTGCACAAGACTGAAAAATTGTAATCCTCATCTTTTCATGCAAACGAAGGAGATGTTTTCCTAGATAGAAAGTACACTTCTGAAATATTATTTCCAGGTGACAATTTGTTGATTCCGATGATTCTGCATGGCAGTATTTTATTTATTTTTCATCTTGTTTTGTCATAAACACCATCTACATTCATTTTACACAATTTTTCATTGATGTATGTTTCTTGCTGTACAATGACTTTGAGTGTCCTGAACAAATATAATGCATGATTTTTATTATGATGATGATGATAATGATGACGATGATGATGACGACGATGATGATGATGATGATGATGATGATGATGATGATCATCATCATCATCATCATCATCATCTTCGTCTGCAAAATGCCCCTCCTGCCCACTCCTCATCAGGAACTTGTGGAAGTCAATTTCCGCCACCCTGATTAAAAAAAATAAAAATTTGTATCTTATGACTTAGCTATCTCGTAATTATGAGATACTATCTCATAATTTTGACTTGGTATCTCATAATATGACTTAGCTATCTCGTAATTATGAGATACTATCTCATAATTTTGATTTGGATATCTCATAAATAAGACTTAGTATCTCATAATTATGAGATAGCTATCTCTTAATTTTGACTTAGTATCTCATAATTATGACTTAGATATCATAATTATGAGATGCTATCTCATAATTTTGACTTAGTATCTCATAATATGACTTAGCTATTTCACAATTAGGACTTAGCTATCTCATAATTATGATATACTATCTCATATTTATGACAGTATCTCATAATTATGACTTAGATATCTCATAATTATGAGATACTATCTCATAATTTTGACTTAGTATCTCATAATAAGACTTAGCTATCTAATAATTATGAGATACTATCTCATAATTTTGACTTAGCTATATCATAATTATGACTTATCTATCTCATAACTAGGACTTAGCTATCTCATAATTATGAGATACTATATCATATTTATGACTTAGTATCTCATAATTATGACTTACAGTAGATATCTCATAATTTTGAGATACTATCTCATAGTATGACTTAGCTATCTCATAATTATGAGATACTATCTCATAATTTTGACTTAGATATCTCATAATTATGACTTAGATATCTCATAATTAGGACTTAGCTATCTCATAATTAGGACTTAGCTATCTCATAATTAGGACTTAGCTATCTCATAATTAGGACTTAGCTATCTCATATTTATGACTTAGTTATCTCATAATTTTGACTCAGCTGTCAAAATTATGAGATATCTAAGTCAAAATTATGAGATACAAGTTTTATTTATTTTTATCAGGGTAGCGGAAATGGGCTTCCATAGATACTTCAAATAGAAGCTGCTGATGKTTTTTTATTGTTTAAAGCAAACAAAGAAAAAGTGGCTAAAGGTGAAACTAAAGCTTTGGAGAAAACTTCTTGAGAACAATTGAGTCTCACATGATTTCTTTTTTCATCTCTAAAACATTTACCTCTCAGAACAGTCTGAAGAAGGCATAATTACTGTCGATCAAATGAGAACATCTCATCACTTGGCACCCATAATATTAAGCCGTTTCTGTCTTATTCCCTCTATTTTACTTCACACAGAGCATGTAAATGTCAGCAAAGCTGTAATCCATAAGCCCTTCATTTCTACAGAAAGGCTCAGTGTTTTATYGCACAGCTGAACCTTTAAGACCGTCAGCGCGTCTCAAGTGGGATACAACAAACCTCCTTTGTCATCTCTGGGTAATTAGGGATTCAAACTCCTCCTCATGAACACATGCGATTATGAATGAGCTCCACTGGCTCAGATATGCAGCGTGGGAGCTCAGCAGGAACATGTGAGGAGCTTTACAGCTGCACATACAGTCGCATGGAGCTGGAGCGATGCACCGCCTCGTTTAAAAGACGTCTGTAAAACTCGAGCAGATAATCCGGGAAGAGACACAACACTAGTGATGTTAAACACACTAAACTTATGTGAATGCAGTGCATATACATAAACCTTACAGCTGATATGGTTAAAACAAGAAAAAAAATTGACAAAGTGCTAATAATACATAATTTTATGAAAGGAAACAGTAGCACTATTTAACTACACCTTATTGAGCCTTACTTAATTATTAATAAATTGTTATTTAACCTTGAAAACATAATCAGTTAAGGATAATTCATATTTAATAAGCTATAAATGAACCCATTTATTAATGCTTTACCCATAAATGCTACCACTAATAACTACTTAATAGTGAATTCATGTTTAATAACTCATGAATTACATGTCCTATAAACTATATATGTATTTAAATGCTCATAAATTTACTTTCACACCATGTGTTAGACACGTATTAACTATTACAGAATATTTGAAGTGATTAGTAAATATTATTATGCTTTAAGTATTGGTTAATGTAGACAAACCCCTGAAAACTTCATCATGATTAATAATTAACTAACCATTTATTAATTATTAAATAAGCCTAAATAATGTGTAGTTACTATGAAGTGTTACCAAGGAAAATTCCAGTGATTATAACGAACATTAGATTTAGTTTATGGCCATATTAAAGTATTTGTACAATTTTTCAGCAACGTTTCAATTGATTATTAAGTTTCTTTCATGTTTTTTATATTATCTGAGGTCACATGAGGTAAGGTGCTTCATGGTCTTTGTAAAAATTAATGCAGAGTCTTAATCTAGGATTTCCAGAACCCCTAAGCAGGATCGTAGGATTTGATTGGCCTGAAAATACATAGATATGATTTGGCTTTGGGTGAGTGAGGAAAACATACGAAATGAAAGGCTGAGATCAATTCTACGTGCAGCTAATATCCCAGAGTTCCCTCCAGCTTTGCATCATTTTAATCCAAATTTAGCCACGTTTTGTTGAGAGTACATTATAGATTTTATGGTGTAGAAGAAGTAACAAAACGTCAGATCTCCACTTGGCAGCAGAACTCACCGACAGCAGACTGAAGAACCGCTCTGTATGTGCTGGCGTGTCGGTGAGGCTGCCACTGAGCACACACGCTGGACATCCTCACTTGGTATGTGCTCAGGTTAGTCACCCCGAGGTACACTGCAGAGAGGAAAKAGAGCTGTAAGATTTATGTTTCATGACGGCATCAGTATTCTTTGTGGATTTTTTTATTTTATTTGTATTTATTTTTACTTCATCACCACAAATTGCACTATAGCTGAAAGTTTTGGCAGGTGYTGCTCAACTCCTCTGACTTTGCAGAAATCTTGGTATGGTAGTCTAAAGCGCCAACAGAAATAGCACGGGGACATAAAACAAAACAAAAAATAAAAGTTTCTGGAACTCTGAAAATGTTCATTACAGAGCCATGAGCAGTCGTTTCTCCACACTGCTATAATAAATCCACATAAAGCCGCACCGAGCTCACATCAGAGAAACCACATGCAATCATGTCTCCAGATGATGGACTTAAAGCGTGTGGCTGCCTGGTTTCAAGGACACCAGTGCACGTTTCCGTCAAGTTATTTGCAGACATATGGAGAAGCATGGCTACACTGTGTGTGTGGTTTTTTTTTTCAAAGAGTTTAAGTTTACGCACACAAACTCCTAAACAAACCCACACAGTCTATTTATGCAAATGGAACTTATGCTTTTAGCTTTTGACTCCTGAAAGCAAAAGTTGTTCTGAGCTGAAACGCATCAGCTTTTGTGCTTCTGAGTCGGTAATGGTTTCGCACATTTTAGTATATTTTACACAAAATCCAACTAAACAGAACATTTAAGCTGAGGATGTAATCTACATGATTTTGACCTTCATATAAATGTGTAGCGGACCCTCTCTGCATCTGATTTCTCATAGAAAGCTCACCATATGGTTTAAAAAGGAAAAAGGTCTGCATGTGTTTTGAACATTTTTTGTTTTATTTTATTCTTATTTCCACAATATCTATAAACTAGTACTTCTAGAATCACACAAATAAGATTTATTATATAGAAATCTGGAGTGAAACTCTCTTTTTATCCACAAAATCTATACTTCTTGTGCTGACGTGTGACATTGACGCATCAGCTCACTCATCTCTTCTGCTCCACTGGCTTCATTAACATGCTACAGAGTGAAATGACAGACGCTCCATCCCCCTCCTGGGACCACGCTGGCCTAATCATCTTTCTCTCTTTTCCAATAAATCCATCTTTCTTTGTCTCCTTTTGAGTTTGTACCCCCATTGCTCTCCTTTATGAGTTTCTCAATGTGTCCTTTAATTCAACCAAGATGAGCCTAATTACGATGCCGGTGGTGAAAGTTGGCACAGGTACAAAGAACTGAACTAAGTTTAAAAGGTGYTTGTGTGAGTTTAGCTGAGACTTGTCTTTAGCTAAAGGAATAGGAATGGATKATCAGGCGGGATGTTGGTCACTGAAAAGAGGGGGGGAATCAAACTGGTGACATCTCTGCTTCAAAATGTATGAGAGGCCATTTGCGCCATAATTCAAACTTGCTAAAAAGGGCTATTACACCAAAACTATCACGGCTGTAAAGAGGTTAATTATCATGCAGGAGAGGGAAAATCCAGGCTTCAACTCTGATTAAACAATCCAAGCCAGACTTATAAAAGGCTTTGGGAAGTATGCAGGTAGCCTGTAAAACAGTTTTTAAATCATTGCATCTAGAGTTCATTCCCAGGCTGAGATACAATTTCATATTGTTYAAAGTATAGATATGAAAATGTTGGCATCTACGGACGACCGGCTGCTTCTGCGATTAGAATCAACAAGGTTGTTCTTTCAAAATGTGTGAGTTAGTCACGTTCATAATGGCTCTTACTGTATGAGCCAMAGAGGTGAACAGTCCTTTCTGTCTTGAACACCTTTGTGCAACCATTTTTATTTTAATCTCAAAATCATTGCAGAGGTCTCAAACTTGTCTGATTTTTCTAACTGGCACCTCCAACCGATCTCAAGAACAAGAGGTCTCAGGGGCGGAGCCAAAGGGGGGTGGCAAGGGGGGTGGCACTTGATTGGCCACCTCAGGTGCCACTCCTAAAAGATTGAAGAATAAGTGGAGTGGGGGGTTTATGTGGCATTTCAAAGGTGGACATTTAAAGAAAAACTTTTTTTTGCTAGTTGGGGTAGTTTTCAGATTTGGCTGCCACCACACCAAATTCATCCTCAGTATTTCTAAAAGACTGTGCTACCCCAACACATCATTGTCTGCTTTTAAAACAAGTTTTAAAACTTATTCCTGTTCGTTTTTAGCCTAGCATGTGGCCTTGTTATATTTTAACTGCTTTTGCTTGCTTTTATTGTTTTTRTTGTTGATTTGTTTTGGCCTCTCTGTACAGCACTTTCATGGGCCACTGTTTTAAAGTGCTTTATAAATTAAACTTATTTGATTTGATTTGAACTGTAGCCATTTGAAAGTTGCTTTGACAGCCATACTGGATATTGTGTTCAAAATTAAAAAAAATTGTTAAACATTATTCCTCGGCTACTGCTACACTAATTTTCAGCTTGCTAAATTAGCATTAGCAATTATCTTAGTTGGGACTAACAATCCTAAAGTTCTTTTATTTATCATTCTTAGCTACGATCACACACTATTTCAGCTTAATATTTTTTTAAACAGTTTAAAATTTTAAAGTCCAAAGAAGATTTATTTGTTTGTATGTGCCCCCCCCTAAAAAACACCTTGGCCCCCTCATGCAAAAATGTCTAGCTCCACCTCTGGAAGGTTGCCTCTAACAGAAAACATTTCCAGGTCTGAACATTGTGCTGGTTATAAATGATTAGAACCTGGTTCAAWCTTATCCATATTTTTTTCACAATTGTACTCCAGATGATTAAACCATAAATACGATGGTTRCTACAAAAGTGGGCCGATGTGAATATAATGTGGGCGGAGTGGACAACATAGTATTGTGCCAGAATTCAGTTTTGCAAGTCATGCACCCAAAAATAGGCTGTTTTATTGCAAACCATTCAAAATGTGWCCCSGCTTGTTGATCACAAACACTTCACATTTAATAAAACTAGAACTGAAATAGAAAATCTGCCTATTTTCTCACAATGCTGTGTTGCAGCCCATTGATTTACCAGTTAAAAAAAAACTGAAAGCAAATAAAAATGTGCAGAATGGGGATTTTTATGAAATGGTAAGTAAATTGTTAAAATGTATGCATGCATGACTACAAAAATGAGATTTTATTCACTTTAACAAATCATTTTGTAATTTGTTTTTGAATTTCTGTAACTAAACAAAGTCTTGTTAGTAGACATAAAAAGAACCATACTGGCATTTTTTCATTTTAAGTTAAAAAAAATCATCAACTTTTTACTTTAATTTCAGTGCTTTGTATTTCACATGTTCACAAATTCACTTATAAAGTTATAGTTCATTTTATGCAATACAAAACCAATAAAAACACATGAAACTTACAGGTCTTGGCCCTTCCTGACAGAGCCTCGCTGGACCCGGTGGTGTAGGAGGCGATGACCTTGACACTGTACTCTGTCCCACTCAGCAGGTTCACAATCAGCATGGTGCTCACGTCTTCCCCCACAAAGGTCTCCAGAGCCGACCCAGGGGCTGAAACGGGGCAGAATCATTAAAGAAGGGATGTCAAGATGGAACAAATGGCCAGTTAAAGGGAAGAGGAGCGGGTTCAGAGGTGATCATTAGTGTCAGATAAAGCAAAGAGGGAAAAGATGAATTTCATTTTGGATGCACGCATGCGAGAAATTTATTCTAAAGATGATTTTTTTCATACTTTAGCTTAGAATTTATCTCTGGGTGACATTTATATCCACACWTTCTTTATTTAAAGTTATTTATTGAACATTAAGTACTTGAATGTTGAACCAAGCTGTTCTTTGTTTTTTTCTTTTTCTTCAAATCAAGTTTGCGTGGACTTCTCAGACTCATATTAAAACAGAACTAAATATTACACTTTTTATATTTTTACACTGGGAAACACTTTAAATAAGCCACTAATGATTTTTTTCCTTCTCATTAAATGTGTCTACATCGCCTCGAGCCTTTGGCTGCAGGCAGAGAAGCTTTCAGCTCCAGAGATGAATTTATTATTTATTTACCACTTCCCACCTGCTGAAGATAACTTACTGACAATCATTGTACCTTAATTTGTCATCATTTCAAAAYCCAAACAACTGAAGCGGTTTGCAGACCGTTGCAAGTAAATTCACAAAGAATTGGTTRGTTTGTGTGAAAGTTACCAGACAGAGGCTGGTAGACCACCCTGTACCCCATGGTGGGTGAAGGTGGGATGTCCCAGCTGATCCGGAAGCGGTTGTACCATTCCTCCGAGACTCGCAGGTTCTTTGGAGCCGAAAGAGGAACTGAGGTGGGGAAAAAAAAAAGATTTAAGTATTTCATTTTTCCACTTAAACAATGCATGAATTCTGTAATTATCTACTATAAGAGACAATGTAACAAAAGGTAAACAAATGTGCCTTCGTATGAGTTAATTAGGGTGTTTTTATGCAAAGGCACATGTTGTAATATAAAAAAAAAGACTTTACACAGAACACATCCCACACAAAGTTTGAATAAAGTAGAAAAAGTGCATGTGCTAATGTTAAGATTTGCTCAATTTGAATCCGTTAAAAAGAGATACTGCACATAAATGTATTTTCCATAATAGAAAAAAAGTGATTAAAAGTTGCTTTAATAATGTCGTCAGACAGGAGGGARAGCAAAGAACAAGAACTGAGAGGACAGAAGCTGAAATAACAAAGCCAAAGAAAAAGAATGGAAGTTTGACAAAGCTTAATAAAATTAGCTTAGTGAAGAGTTCAAAGTCCCTCTGCTGTAACAGAGATCAGTAAAATTAATCTGTCAGAAGGATATTAAAACTAAAGGACTTATGATTAAAATGACATCATTAGTTTATTTTTATTCCTCAATGGAAGCAAACTTATTTACAGACACATCCATGTGCAACCTTTGTGCAGCTCTTTTAAAATAATTCAGATTATCTGAAAATCCTTTCAGCTTTCTTCTTTTTTTTTCTTAATTTGAATGAATCTGTTAGCTGTTCTGTTGGACGTTTAAAGAGATAAAAAGCTCCAATCGTTCTCCCTGCCTCTCATCATTCTTCCCTGAGCTGGTTTCTCACAAACCCAAAGCTCCGAATTACAGCAGCTCTCCTGCCTCATTTGTCGTCTCCGCCTTCTGCGGCGGCTCGGCATTAAAAAACCAATCACACGTTCTGAGCTGCAAAACCCCGTCAGTATCTGCTGCAAACTCCCGCGTTTATATCCTCGTGTTATAACCTGCTTTTCTGTCGCGTTAGCTACCTCCACTGGTTTTCCTTGACCTTAAAAAAAGAATCCCATCATCCTCAGTGTCATCCCTCCCTCGGCGTGTTTTCATGAAAAACTGGTGAGAAACTCTCAGGGAACAGAAGCTGATTCGTGAGTTAAGAACCGTTTTCAGAGGCTTTGGTAATAAGTCTCAGTTCAGGCTGAGGAAGCACACTTCATGCAACACGTCACTTAATTGTTCCTGAGAACATCCAAGTTCTCAGCTTCTGTAGCAATAGTTGCACATTTGGCTTTTTAAAGGGTCAATATCATGTAAAATCAACTTTTTTGAGTTTTATTTCATGTTATAATGTTATACTCTCATTAAAAAAACACGCCCAAAGCCTTGCTCTGACTCATTCATGCATGTTTGAGAAATCCTGCAGTGTTTTTAGGAAGCCATGCTGAGGAGCAAAACGACAGGTGGAGACCAAAAACGACGTTTGGGACAAGAAACGCCTCTGGGACGTGTCTTTCAGCCAAACTTCCTCATGGCAGAGCGCCCCCCTCCCCCCTCCCCACACACCCCGCCCATGACTCCTGCAGGCTCTCGGATCAAAGTGAAAGTGAAACTTAACTGTCTGCTGAGCTCTCAACGCTATTTCTCACTCATTGAAGCTCTTTTCAGATTAAAAATACCTTTGAGGAAATGTATTTTCAGATGCCAAGTAAACTGCATCAGGGCAGCACCCCCTACCCGCGAGCGTGACCCCCCGCACCRAAATGGGCGAGACAGAAGGATGTTCTTAAAGAGACAGAGGCCAATTTCAAGGCATTTAGAAGAGGAAGTGATGAGAAGATAAGTTTATTTTCTATTTAAACATAAAAACAGCATTTTCATAACAACTAAAGGTGACATAGACATACTTTATTATGGTATAGTTTTTAAATGTATGCCTGAGAAACACATAATATTGCCCCTTTAAGGCTCCACAACATCCACTGGTCAGAAAGTGAGCATGAGTTCCAAGAAGATAAGACATATTCCAACTCATCAATAAAGTTTGGTATTTTTAACTGACTTTGCAAAGTTTTATTTGTTGTGTAAATATGTTTCAGTTGTGTTTTATCCATCTTCTGCYTATCTACAGTCAGGTCAAAGAGGCAACATGTCCTGAAGAGAAGCTCCAACTCTTTCTGAGGGATCCTAAAGATTTCCCAGACCACAGAGCCCGAGTCCTGGGTCTGCTCTGAGGTCTTCTCCCAGTGGACTCTTTATTCTCTTTAATAAGATTTATTTTGAAGTTCTAATTCCTCCATCAGCTTTACCACCTTTACAGACAGAAAACAAGGATTCCAGACCCCACATACAGGAAGTGAAAACTGTCGACACAACAGGAAAACAGGAAAAAAGTAATCACTAAAACTAAAATTAACACGTCTGAGTTGTTATTTCTGTATTAGTTCCCCTTTTTTGATCATTTCAGTTCAGATTCAAAACAACAATAAATCTAGTCAAATGAATAGATAAGTTAAAATATAAATATACTGTATATGTATTTGCCAGATGGATGTTATTATTATTATTATTATTATTATTAGTCAATCCATTCATGACAGCTATACGTCTGCAGAGCAAACCTTATGAAGTGTTCAGATGAACCTGAACAGTCATCTGTAACTGTCACGCCTCCTTCAAAGGCTGTCGTTGGACCGAAATGGCTTCATTTACAACTGATGGTTCACCACCCACTAAAGTCACAGTACTTGTAGATGATTGACAGAAACTTTCCTCCCACAAGAAARAAACACCTGATAGAACATCATCTGTCCTGTATTTTTATTTTTTTAACATTATGTCCCAATATTATTTTATAAATCCCATTTATAGCATCATGTCTGACTAAAATGAGTCACAGAAAACATTTACCAAGAAAATAACATGAAGCTGCAAACTGTATTTCAAAGGTGAAATGTATAAAAGCAGAGCAAATGCTGAATGACTTTGGTGAAATTTGAYAAAGAAACTGAGTTAAGTTAAAATAAGATAATTAGTCTAAAATTATTAGAACAGAGGCCAAAATGTACCAAACCTGGGCTAAAACGAGCTGAACACAAGCTAAAATAAAAAACTAAACATAAAATAAAAGCATCAGAACAGCAGCAGAAAATTAATTGGAATTTTAAAAGGGGCAGAAATGTAGCTCAAATTAGCAAAACCATAGCTAAAAGTTCAAAAGAACAGCTAAAAAATGCATCTCTTTGGGAAAAAATATGTATATTTTTGAAAAGTAAAAACGGTACAATTACTTCAATTTCATACATGATTGGTTAAAACTAACAAGTATGCAGTGGTATGTTTTAAACACTTTACCAAACTACCCACTGGAAAACTGAATGCTGTAAACAAATTCTTGATTTCATTTTATGCAATAAATAAACTAAAACAACTCTATTTAGCTGCTCYGCTTCTAAATATGAAAGTGACAAGACAGAGAATGAAGACTTACAGTTGAAATAAATTCATCACTGCCTAAGTTGAACTAAAGTTTCTGTCAAAGCAAGCATCTTTAATATGTTTTATTTCTTATTCTTTGATGATTGAAGGAGCTGTGACCCTCTGTAAAAATCCTCAGCACTTTTTAAACTAATCATGCTGTTTCCAGAGAAGGGGCGGTTCTAGGGGCGGGGCCACAGGAGCATTGGCCCCTGCTGAAATCGGATTGGCCCCCCTGAAGTGCCCCTGTCCTGTCACTCATCTGTCCTTTGGCTGAGAGCGATGGTGGCGGCTGCTGTTCCATGCACAAACACTAGAGGCACTAATGAGTCAAACAGTAAAATCCAGCATGAATCAATCTTACAGACGTCTTCTTCTCTTCTTTAAAAGACTTAAACAGTTTTGCAAAAAATATCTTTCAGCTGGCAAACAATGGCTTCATTTTCTCACATGCTTTGAGGATATTTTATCCATGTACAGTAAAAAATGCATGTAAAATTGATAAGGAAGCTTTTTTGATAACATTACATTATGTTACAATTGTTGGATCACATGTGACCGCTTAAATTTATACACCTTACCAAAACCAAGGATTTATGTGCAAGGATGTTGAACAAATACTTGGCCCCTCTATGAATATGGTGGCACCTTGATGGCCCCTTACTCAGAAAAACCCTAGATCCGCCACTGTTCCAGAGGCTCATCCCCTCAGATTAATCTGCTTCTCCTGCACCGTTCTCCATCCTCRGCATGGGAATCCCCCCCAGCCCCAGTCACTGTCATGCCTCCCTCACATTCACCTCCCCTCTTTCAAAGATTCCAGTCCTCAGATTACACCAGCTCCCTTTGTCACGTCATCCATCTTCACTCTTTAAAAAAGAAACAACTAAAAACTAATCAAACCCCCTCTTCGTCTTTTTTTTCCTCCGGTGATCCTCTCATCCCTCACTCGTTAACAGGAGCCATTCATCATCAGCGAGTGTCGGAGGCCCGTCATTTAAAAGTGGGGAGAGCGTCGTTAACGCCTGCTAATGTGTGTAATGTGCTGCTCGGGGACACATGATGGGACGGACGAGCGGAGATGAATGACTCAAATTTAGACTTTTGTTCTTGCTGAAAGTCAAGTGTTTGTTCGCTGATGCAGCCGGCAGCGGAGGAAATCTGTGCTCCTTGGCTTGAACGTTTACAGMGTGGGGTCATGTCTGAAGGATGAAAACTTATTCTCACTCATTTTGGTTTTTAAATAAAACAGTTGATGTATTTTAAGCTACTGAAACAAGCCGTTAAACTTATTGAGACTTTCCAGTTTTTCACCTGTACTCTTCTTCTTCTTTGATTTCTTGTTTATATTACTTCTGTAAATCTTATGAATATATAATTATTTTTCAATCACGTTCACAGATGTGGTGSTATTTTAAATCAGCTTCTTTTATGTTCACTCTTTTGTCAATTTAAATGAACTATGATTCTGATATATTTCCCATTTTTCACTCGCTTTATTTTATTTGTTTCATAACTGAGAGTTGGTCCCAATTTTTCTGTGTTTTTGATTTTTTTTTCCTGCCCTTTTTTTATTTTTTATTTTATTTTTTGCATTGACAGGCCGATTTCCAGCTGCATGTTGTCCATTGTTTGCAGCTGAGTCAGGAGTCTATAGTGGGTTTTTTAGGCTTTTCACAGAAATCACCTGAAAACTGACAAGAAACGAACCAAAGAAAAGAGTCAGACTGACCCAGAACACGACAGCTGAAAAATGTGTGAAGAATAAAAAAGCAGATGCAAGTGTTGCACCATGTACGCCACTTAATAAAACAACCTTTGACAATGTGGATTGCGTTTTCAAAAATATATATAAAATTGTAATAACGCAATAAAATAAACGCAACATTTGTGACTTACGTGTGCGTCCCTGTTGTGAAGCAGCCGCTCCGTCTCCCTCGGTGTAAACAGGAGTGATGGAGACTTTGTACTCTGTGTCTGACAGGAGAGGCTGCAGAGTCAGGCTGTTCTGACCAACGGGCACCGTCCTCTGAAAACACAAAAATAAACATCTTAAATCAAATTCGACAGACGGCAAAAGCTGCAAACATTTTGATTCCTTCTTTTCTTAAAGTGCTCCGCTGCAGTTTTAGTGTTTTACCTGCTGAAGTTCACATCAAACCAAACAGGTGATGGTGAAGCTTTATTCTGTTTAACATTGTTTTTTTAATGCACTACACATTCTTGTCTTTACCTATCGGTCATTTTATGTAATGAATGTAATTACCTATTTTTATGTGTTAGGATTAAACTGTGATTAATTGCGGTCTGCTTTGAATGACCMGTGTCACGGTCATCTCGAAACACAAAGTACTTTTAAACGATGCATTAGTTAACACACCTTATCACCACAAAACAGCATTTAACTATTTTTCTCATCTAAATCTGTATTATTGTAAAAAAAAAAAACTGCCTCTGGGTAGGAAAGGTCCAACCAAACAGTACAATACATCAGTATTGTTTAAATCTGTGCTGACTTCCTGATTTGTGGCCAAAATCCTGTGTCTGAATAAAGGTCTGTATTTTGGTCCAGCTGGTGGTATTGTGTGGCTTTATTTATGCTAATTCAGAGGTTTATAGTAACTAAGTACATTTAATTTGTTACAGTAGGTTTTTTGAGGATTTGTAACTTTACAAATTACTTTGTAATTGAACTCAGCCTTATAAGCACTGCCTCCACATGGTGGACAAACAGGTTAGTCACATGCAAAAGAGGGCCATGGACATGGGCATGTGACTAAATAGCGCTAATCAAGCCTATTGTTAGGCGATGGCCCTCTTTTGCATGTGACTAACCTGTTTGTGCGCGGCACGGTGGCTCAGTTGGTAGAGCTGATGCCTCTCAGCAAGAAGGTCACCGGTTCAAATCCCGGTCCGGGGACCTTTCTGGGTAGAGTTTGCATGTTCTCTCCGTGCATGCGTGAGTTCTCTCTGGGTACTCCGGCTTACTCCCACAGACCAAAAACATGACTGTCAGGTTAATTGATAAC